GTTCTTTTCTTTACCCAAGATATTCTTAGAACCTGTCTGTAACATTTATATTCAAATGCATTTATGCGCTGTTCCGCTTGTTTAGTAAGTGTCCAGGTCTCACAGGCGTATGTTGCAATGGGAAAGATGCATGCTCTTAAAAATCTGACCTTTGTAATTCTATCTGTACAATTCCATAATTTATTCAGTTGTTTTAGTCTTTGAAGAGCAATTGATAGTCGCCGTTTAATTTCTTTCATTGTGTCACCATTGTTGGTAACCAGTGACCCAAGATATTCGAAATTTTCCACCATTTCCAATCTTTCCTCATTAACATATATTTCCTTCTCCATGGCAGTTTTGTTTGTATGCATTATCTTTGTTTTTGCTATGTTAAGAAATAAGTTATGATTTTCACTATTTCTTTGGAGTGAGGTTAATAAGTTTTCTAAACCATTTTGTGATGTTGATAGTAATACTGTATCATCAGCATAACGAATTTCTGCTGCTGGTGTTGATAAGTTTGAATATGATGTTATTACTGACAATCATAGACTTTCTGGCTCTGCTTGTGTTGATAAAATGTCGTTACTACAACCCAGGGATTTAATCTTCCTCTGTTGGTGTTGATACTGATTTATTACTGGCAGTCAGAGACCATTGCTGATTCTGTTCGTATTGATAAGAGTGAATATGATGTTGTTACTGACAAGCCTAGGCTGTTTCTGCTTCTTGTGGTCCTGATAAAGGTGAATATGATGTTGTTACTGACAAGCCTAGGCTGTTTCTGCTTCTTGTGGTCCTGATAAAGGTGAATATGATGTTGTTACTGACAAGCCTAGGCTGTTTCTGCTTCTTGTGGTCCTGATAAAGGTGAATATGATGTTGTTACTGACAAGCCTAGGCTGTTTCTGCTTCTTGTGGTCCTGATAAAGGTGAATATGATGTTGTTACTGACAAGCCTAGGCTGTTTCTGCTTCTTGTGGTCCTGATAAAGGTGAATATGATGTTGTTACTGACAATCCGAGACTGTTTCTGCCAGGTCTTATTTATTGGAGACTCCACAAACCGTGGCATCTTGCACTATATCCTCCAGCGGGTCAATGGGTCTCTTATGGAGGGGGACAAAACACACAGTATCCACGTCTACCCAGACTTTGATGATGGCTCCACAGTCTTCGGATTCGCCTACTACCCTCAGTTCTGGCATCGGCCTGGTGTTAGGCCAGGACTGGACATGGCACTGAACCAGCTTCTAAACAGGTACTACACTGTGCAATTGAATGTGTGTGCAGTTAACACGATTCAGAAAGATTGGTACCACTTATCAGACATGAATGACCAGACACGTTACCGCAAATGATACTGTTTAGAATTTTGACAAAATGCAGTGGGGCATAAGTCTAGTTGATATGCCAATAATTGTGGTTGGTGGGCACAATATAAACAATTTACGTTATGCTGATGACACAGTCTTGATAGCAACAAGTCAGAAAGAACTACAGTAAATGATAGACATTGGGGTGTTAGAAAGTGGAAGAATGGGCCAAAGTTTGAATAATCGGAAGACAGAAGTAATGGTGGTCTCAAAGAAACGAATTATTCCTAAATGTGTAATAAAAGTCGATGGTGTTATTTTGGGACAAGTACATAAATTTAGGTATCTGGGCACATGGATAACATCAGATCGTAGATGCATAAGTGAGATATGAAACAGAATAGGACAGCAAAAACTGCAATATATAAAATGAAGAACATCTTGTGCAATATTTCCTTGTCATTGAGAGTTAGAAAAAAAATTCTTGCTTGCTACATACATCCAGTTTTAACATATGACTGTAGATCCTGGAAAATCGGTAGGTAGGTCAAAAAACTTCTTGAGGCCTCAGAGATGTGGTTTTACAGAATGCTTAGAATACCTTGGACAGCCAAAAAGAGCAACCAAGAGATTTTGAAAGAGGCGGGAGCCCAAAGACCACTTATCACATACATTAGAAGGAGACAGTCAACATTTTTCGGCCATGTTATGAGAAGAGGGAAAAAAGAACATGTTGTGACCACTGGGAAGATCTGTGGAAGAAGGGATAGAGGAAGACAACGAGAGAAGATTCTTGACAGTCTTGTTACATGGCATGAAGGTGTGTCGGCACACGAACTGATACATGCTGCAGGAGATTGCAGATTGTGGAGAGGCATGATCGCCCACGCCAGTCCGCAAGGCTCCTAATGATGATAATAATAAGTCTGTGGTGACACAAGTCTGTGGTGATACAAGTCTTTGGTAACACAAGACAGTGGTGACACAAGTCTGTGGTGACACAAGTCTGTGGTTACACAAGTCTGTGGTGACACAAGACTGTGGTGACACAAGTCTGTGGTGACACAAGTCTGTGGTGACACAAGTCTGTGGTGACACAAGTCTGTGGTGACATAAGACTGTGGTAACACAAGTCTGTGGTGACACAAGTCTGTGGTGACACAAGTCTGTAGTGACACAAGTCTGTGGTGACACAAGTATGTGGTGATGTAGTGACACAAGTCTGTGGTGACACAAGTCTGTGGTAACACAAGTATGTGGTGACACAAGTATGTGGTGATGTAGTGACACAAGTCTGTGGTGAAACAAGTATGTGGTGATGTGGTGACACAAGTCTGTGGTGACACAGGTATATGGTGACACAAGTATGTGGTGACACAAGTCTGTGGTGACACAAGAATGTGGTGACACAAGTATGTGGTGACACAAGTCTGTGGTGACACAAGTATATGGTGACACAAGTATGTGGTGACACAAGTATGTGGTGACACAAGTATGTGGTGACACAAGTATGTGGTGACACAAGTATGTGGTGACACAAGTCTGTGGTGATGTGGTGACACAAGTATATGGTGATGTGGTGACACAAGTATGTGGTGACACAAGTATATGGTGATGTGGTGACACAAGTATGTGGTGATGTGGTGACACAAGTATGTGGTGACACAAGTATATGGTGACACATGTATGCGGTGACACAAGTATGTGGAGATGTGGTGACACAAATATGTGGTGACACAAGTATGTGGTGATGTGGTGACACAAGTATGTGGTGACACAAGTATGTGGTGATGTGGTGACACAAGTATGTGGTGACACAAGTATGTGGTGACAAAGTTATGTGGTGACACAAGTATGTGGTGACACAAGTATGTGGTGACACAAGTCCGTGGTGACACAAGTATGTGGTGATGTGGTGACACAAGTCTGTGGTGACACAAGTATGTGGTGACACAAGTATGTGGTGATGTGGTGACACAAGTCTGTGGTGACACCAGTATGTGGTGACACAAGTCTGTGGTGACACATGTATGTGGTGACACAAGTCTGTGTTGACACATGTATGTGGTGGCACAAGTCTGTGGTGACACATGTATGTGGTGATGTGGTGACACAAGTCTGTGGTGACACAAGTATGTGGTGACACAAGTCTGTGGTGACACATGTATGTGGTGACACAAGTCTGTGTTAACACATGTATGTGGTGGCACAAGTCTGTGGTGACACATGTATGTGGTGATGTGGTGACACAAGTCTGTGTTGACACACGTCTGTGGTGACACATGTATGTGGAGATGTGGTGACACAAGTCTGTGGTGACACAAGTCTGTGGTGACACAAGTATGTGGTGACACAAGTATGTGGTGACACAAGTATGTGGTGACACATGTATGTGGTGACACAAGTCTGTGGTGACACATGTATGTGGTGACACAAGTCTGTGTTGACACATGTATGTGGTGACACAAGTCTGTGGTGACACATGTATGTGGTGATGTGGTGACACAAGTCTGTGGTGACACAAGTATGTGGTGACACAAGTATATGGTGACACAAGTATATGGTGACACAAGTATATGGTGACACAAGTATATGGTGACACAAGTATATGGTGACACAAGTATGTGGTGACACAAGTCTGTGGTGACACAAGTATATGGTGACCCAAGTCTATGGTGACACAAGTATATGGTGACACAAGTATATGGTGACACAAATATGTAGTGACACAAGTATATGGTGACACAAGTATATGGTGATGTGGTGACACAAGTATATGGTGACACAAGTATATGGTGATGTGGTGACACAAGTATATGGTGACACAAGTCTGTGGTGACACAAGTATTATGATACAAGATGATATTTGTATGGGCCAGCCGGCATGTCCTGGCTGGTGTGGTTAACATTGTATCAGATGTCCTGGCTGGTGTGGTTAACATTTTATCAGATGTCCTGGCTGGTGTGGTTAACATTTTATCAGATGTCCTGGCTGGTGTGGTCAACATTGTATCAGATGTCCTGGCTGGTCTGGTTAACATTGTATCAGATGTCCTGGCTGGTGTGGTTAACATTGTATCAGATAGCCTGGCTGGTGTGGTTAACATTGTATCAGATGTCCTGGCTGGTGTGGTTAACATTGTATCAGATGTCCTGGCTGGTGTGGTTAACATTGTATCAGATGTCCTGGCTGGTGTGGTTAACATTGTATCAGATGTCCTGGCTGGTGTGGTTAACATTGTATCAGATATCCTGGCTGGTGTGGTTAACATTGTATCAGATGTCCTGGCTGGTGTGGTTAACATTGTATCAGATGTCCTGGCTGGTGTGGTTAACATTGTATCAGATATCCTGGCTGGTGTGGTTAACATTGTATCAGATGTCCTGGCTGGTGTGGTTAACATTGTATCAGATGTCCTGGCTGGTGTGGTTAACATTGTATCAGATGTCCTGGCCGGTGTGGTTAACATTGTATCAGATGTCCTTACTGCCCAGCACATTTTCGGACACCCTGGATTGACATTCAAACCAAGGTTTGTATGTTTTTTAAAAATGCGTTTGCTATTGATTGAGAATGGTTCAGTCACTGCTGGTATTTCTCCAGGACAAGTGGTTGGTCAGACAGAGAATCTGTCCTTGTTCTGGGCGGTGTGCACTGGCTGGCCAAACATCATTTCAATATACTCCTGGAGACTTTACACAGGTAAGACATGGCTTGACTTTGGTGTTCTTCTAAAGACTAGGAAGTAGCAAGATAAATGTTACTTTAATATTATACTGTAGATATTGAACTGGTATGAGAAACATCACCTGGGTATTATATTACTGTATATAATGAAACATCACCTTTTTATTATACTGTAGATAATGAAGTTGTAGGATAAACAATACCTTAGTATTATACTGTAGATAATGATATGTAGATAAAAATCACCTTTGTATTATACTGTAGATAACGAAGTTGTAGATAAAAATCACCTTTGTATTATACTGTAGATAACCAAGTTGTAGATAAAAATCACCTTTGTATTATACTGTAGATAATGATGTTGTAGGATCAACAATACATTGGTATTATACTGTAGATAATCAAGTTGTAAGATAAACATCACCTTACAATTAAACTGTAAATAATAAAGTTACAGAATAAACGTCACTTTGATTTTGTACTGTAAATAATGAAGTTGTAAAATAAACACCACATTTGTATTATAGTGTAGATAATGCAGTCGTAGAATAAACATCACCTGTGTATTATACTGTAGATAATAAAGTTGTAAGATAAACATCACCTTACAATTAAACTTTAAATAATGAAGTTGTGGAATAAGCGTCAATTTGATATTGTACTGCAGATAATGAAGCTGTAAGATAAATATCACCTTGATATTATACTGTAGAAATGGCAGTGGTAAGATAAACATCACATTTATATTATACTGTAGACATTGAGGAGATCCGATAAACAACGTCTTTATATTGTACTGTAGACATTGAGGAGATCAGATAAACATCACATTTATATTATACTGTAGACATTGAGGAGATCAGATAAACATCACATTTATATTATACTGTAGACATTGAGGAGATCAGATAAACATCACATTTATATTATACTGTAGACATTGAGGAGATCAGATAAACATCACATTTATATTATACTGTAGACATTGAGGAGATCAGATAAACATCACATTTATATTATACTGTAGACATTGGGGAGATAAGATAAACATCACATTTATATTATACTGTAGACATTGAGGAGATCAGATAAACATCACATTTATATTATACTGTAGACATTGAGGAGATCAGATAAACATCACATTTATATTATACTGTAGACATTGGAGAGATCAGACAAACATCACATTTATATTATACTGTAGACATTGAGCAGATCACATAAACATCACATTTATATTATACTGTAGACATTGAGCAGATCAGATAAACATCACATTTATATTATACTGTAGACATTGAGCAGATCAGACAAACATCACATTTATATTATACTGTAGACATTGAGGAGATCAGATAAACATCACATTTATATTATACTGTAGACATTGAGGAGATCAGATTAACATCACATTTATATTATACTGTAGACATTGAGGAGATCAGATAAACATCACATTTATATTATACTGTAGACATTGGGGAGATCAGATAAGCATCACATTTATATTATACTGCAGACATTGAGCAGATCAGATAAACATCACATTTATATAATACTGTAGACACTGGAGAGATCAGATAAACATCACATTTATATAATACTGTAGACATTGGGGAGATCAGATAAACATCACATTTATATTAACTGTAGACATTGAGCAGATCAGATAAACATCACATTTATATAATACTGTAGACATTGGGGAGATCAGATAAACATCACATTTATATTATACTATAGACATTGAGATCACATAACATTGATATTCTCTTCCGACATTGAAGAGATCAAATAACCATCACTTTGATATTCTCCTGCAGCAATGAAAAGATCAGATAAAATCCCTTGTCTCCCACTACTCGAACTTTTGTCTTGTAGGTGTGAGTCGGTCACACTTGTCTCCCTGTTGAGTCAGTCACACTTGCCTCCATGTCGAGTCAAACACACTTGTCTCATACTGCTTACACTGTTGTCCTTTAGCTGTTAGTCACACTTGTCTCCCTGTTAAGTCAGTCACACTTGTCTTCCTGTTAAGTCAGTCACACTTGTCTCCCTGTTGAGTCAGTCACACTTGTCTCCCTGTTAAGTCAGTCACACTTGTCTTCCTGTTAAGTCAGTCACACTTGTCTCCCTGTTGAGTCAGTCACACTTGTCTACCTGTTAAGTCAGTCACACTTGTCTGCCTGTTGAGTCAGTCACACGTGTCTCCCTGTTGAGTCAGTCACACTTTTCTCCCTGTTATGTAAGTCACAGTTATCTCCCTGTTGAGTCAGTCACACTTGTATCCCTGTTGAGTCAGTCACAGTTGTCTCCCTGTTGAGTCAGTCACAGTTGTCCCCCTGTTGAGTCAGTCACAGTTGTCTCCCTGTTAAGTCAGTCACAGTTGTCTCCCTGTTGAGTCAGTCACAGTTGTCTCCCTGTTAAGTCAGTCAAAGTTGTCTCACTGTTGAGTCAGTCACACTTATCTCCCTGTTGAGTCAGTCACACGTTTCTCACACTGCTTGCACTGTTGTCCATTATCTGTTGAGTTAGTCACACTTGTCTCCAACAACCTGAACTGGTGTTAGTTAGTAACACTAACAGAAGTAGTACCGTAAACAGCATCAGAAGTAATATAGAAACATCAGCATAAGCAGTAAAGAAACAGTAACAGGAAAAGTATCGTAACAGCAACAAAAGCAGTACAGTAACAGAAACAGAAGCAGTATAATAAAAAGCTACAGAAATAGTACAGTAACAGAAACAGAAGCAGTCCAGTAACAGCAACAGAAGCAGTACAGTAACAGCAGCAGAAGTAGTACAGTAACAACGAACGAACGAACGAACTTTATTTTCAAAGGGTCACAAATTGGGCACGCAGGCCCGTCTTACATTCGGCCCTTCCAGTCAACCATCTTTCGCACAGCAGTTGTATTTTACTAATAAAGCATGTTATGATCATATGGTGTTATGCATATTATGAATATTATAAAAGAACACAAAAGCATGAGTTGTAAAGTGCATGCAAGAACCCGCGCGTGCATACATACACCCACATACACACGCTCACCCACTCACTTACACACACATACATGCATGCATACATTACATACATACATACATACATACATACATACATACATACATACATACATACATACATACATACATACATACATACATACATACATACATACATACATACATACATACATACATACATACATACATACATACATACATACATACATACATACATACATACATACATACATACATACATACATACATACATACATACATACATACATACATACATACATACATACATACATACATACATACATACATACATGCATACATACAGGCATACATACATACACACACACAAACATACATAGATACAAACATACAGGCACACATACATACATTCATACATACATACGTAATACAGGCATACACACATACAAACATACAGTCATAAATACAGTTATGCATGGAGACACACACATGCACACACGGACACTCCCACAGAGACACACACACTCAGACAAAAATACACACACACACACAGACACTTACATATAAACACACTTAGGGAAACACACAGCACACATATTGACATTCGTGCTCACACACTGACACACACACCACACACATACGCAAACAAACATGCACACACATACATACAGCCACATAGACACACACGCAGTCAGACACACACACACACACAAATACAGACAAACAGACAGACAAACACATACTGACACTCACATAGACAAACACGCAGAAATGCATACACATACAAACACATAGAAATACACACGCAGACATATATTTAGCACGCACAGACATATACTCTGACATGCAGGCACATACAGACAACAAAGGGGCACACACAATACACACAGAGAAACACACATACACATGCACAGACAGACAGGCACATGCTGACACATGCATTCATGCAGACAAACATACAGACACCCAACACCAACAACAACAGAAGCAGTACAGTAACAACAACAGAAGCAGTACAGTAACAACAACAGAAGCACTATAGTAACAGCAACAGAAGCAGTACAGTAACAGCAACAGAAGCAATACAATAAAAGCAACAGAAGCAGTATAGTAACAGCAACAGAAGCAGTACAGTAACCGCAACAGAAGCAGCACAGTAACAGCAACAGAAGCAGTACAGTAACAGCAACAGAAGCAGTACAGTAACAGCAACAGAAGCAGTACAGTAACAACAACAGAAGCAGTACAGTAACAGCAACAGAAGCAGTACAGTAACAGCAACAGAAGCAGTACAGTAACAGCAACAGAAGCAGTTCATTAACAGCAACAGAAGCAGTACAGTAACAGCAACAGAAGCAATACAATGAAAGCAACAAAAGCAGCACAAAACAGCAACAGAAGCAGTACAGTAACAAAAACAGAAGCAGTACAGTAACAACAACAGAAGCAGTACAGTAACAGCAACAGAAGCAGTCCAGTAACAGCAACAGAAGCAGTACAGTAACAGCAACAGAAGCAGTACAGTAATAGCAACAGAAGCAGTACAGTATTAGCAACAGAAGCAGTACAGTAACAGCAACAAAAACAGTACAGTAACAGAAACTGAAGCAGTATATTAAAAACATACAGAAGTATTATACTAGACAGCAACAGAAGCAGTCCAGTAACAGCAATAGAAGCAGTACACTAACAGCAACAAAAGCAGTACAGTAACAGCAACGGAAGCAGTACACTAACAGCAACAGAAGCAGTACAGTAACAGCAACAGAAGCAGTAGAGTAACAGCAACAGAGGCAGTACAGTAATAGCAACAGAAGCAGTACGCTAACAGCAACAGAAGCAGTACAGTAACAGCAACAGAAGCAGTACACTAACAGCAATAGAAGCAGTACAGTAACAGCAACAGAAGCAGTACAGTAACAGCAACAGAAGCAGTACAGTAACAGCAACAGAAGCAGTACAGTAACAGCAACAGAAGCAGTATAATAAAAAGCTACAGAAGTAGTATA